ATTTCCTGATTAGAATCCCAAAAGCACTGGTTGTGGTGGTGCACGCCGGTAGGATTTGCTGAAGGAGACAGAGGCAGGAGGATCAAGAGTTTGAGGCCAGCCTGGACTACACATTTTAAAGAAGGAATTTTGAGAGCCCATCCCTTGTGAAGGGATGCTCTCTTGACCTAGACATATGGGGAAGGGCCTCGGCCTGGCCCAGGATGATGTGGTAGAATTTCGGGAGCCCCTTTTGAGGGCCTTACCCTGTCTGGGGAGTGGAGGGGTGATGGCTAGGGACAGGTGGGATGTTGGGGGGAGGGGAGGGAGAGGGAGAAGGGATTGACATCTGAAGCAGGCTTGTTCCTAATTTGAATTAATAAAATAAAAGAATCCCAAAAGCACAGGCAACAAACCCAAGAACTGACAAATCATAATCCATAGAATGAGAAGAATTCAGCATAGCAAAATAAATAATCACAAAAATAGACAACCCACAGAATTCTGAGAAAAAAAAATCATTTCCAACCACACATCAGACATAGGATTGATTCCTAGAATATATAAAGAATTATAAAAATTAAACAGCAAAACACAGTCATCTGACCAATAAACAGGGTGATTAATAGACAGTTCTAAATAGAAACAAAATGGCCAATAAATATTTGAAAAAGTGTCGATATCTTTAGTCACAGGGTAGATGCCAAATTAGTGCCATGAGATTCCATCTCACGAGCTACCAAGAAAAGACATGACAATCAAAGCTGGTGAGGATGTGAGGAAAGAAGAAGTCTCATACACAGCTGGTAAGAATGCCAATTGGAATGTACTGTGGAAATCAGTGCAAAAACTCTTCATACTAACTAAAAATAATTACCATATGGCCCAGATACTTCAATCCTGTGTATACTTCCACAGCAACCTAGAATAGATAGAGGTACTGCCCATCCATGTTTACTGTCATAATAGCTGGGAGCTGCAACTACTCTAGATGTGTACAAGTTAATGGATAAGCATAGCCATATACTCATGACATTTTATTCAGCCACAAAGAAAAATGAAATCATATTGATGGAAAAATTTGTACCTAGATACTGTCAGGAAACCCATCCTTTTGTGTGATAATTAAAGGAAATAATACAGAGCAGGGAGTTTTGTTGCTTCCAGTGGCCACATTGTCAAGAGCTCAGTGAAGGCTGGTTAGAAGACTCATTTGCCATATAGTAGCTGAGGCATAAGACTGGTGTTTGCATAGTCTCACAATGTGCTCATCTACCATAGTAAGAAAAAGGCTTCTGCAGTATCACGTCTTCAAGTTCAGAGCAGTCTAGAAATGTTCTCATCATCCACAGAAGTTATCTCTGAGAGCCGAATTCTGAAAACATGTTGTAAACAATATGCTCTCCATGTTCATCCTACCAGGGCTCTGAGCCTGGTCAAGATACTAGGTTATTCAAATCCCTAAGGCCCACCACACTGAGGGTTTCCTGGAAGCCAGACTGTTACCCCAAAGAGATTAACAAAGAAGCAATACTCTAATAAAACTCCAAACACTCATGTTCTCAAGTCACATGGTCTGTCACGGACTCAACTACAAAGCAAGACAGTAAAGTGAACCTAAGAAGGGTGGGCTGCACACACTCAGTTGGTACAAACATTCTGAGTTGTGAGGGTGAGCAAACAAAATGATGGGCAGAAACAGGAAACAGTAGCACTAATATAAAGCCCAATCCATCATAAAGTCTAATAGTTATTAGGAATCATTAATGATAACCCCTATAAAGTATATCTGACTGATATAAAAATGCTAATAAGTTACAATGAAATCACAAAATTAGTTCGTATTAGAAAGTTCCTATAACAGAGGGAGAATAAAAAACTACATTCTTGAACAAAGCCAAAGAGTGCATAGTTATATAGAACATGTGTCATAGTTTACTTAACATAGTACTTCTGTGTTTGTATTTCAGGTAAAAAAATAGGCAATATGATTAGGGAGTTATATTTATTGGACTCAATCATATGCCAGACTACTTGCTTCATATTGCTTTTTTAATTCTGGTGACAAGTCAGACAAAGATGTCTCAGTCCTTCTTTGTACGTTACAGATAATGAAACTAAACTTCAAGGAGGTCATGTGGTCCAGCTGACACATAATTAACTGTCAGGGTAGTCCCTAAGGAATGACCCTCATCAGGCTACCACAAGTGAAGCCTGTAAACTGAGGACCTGCCAGGCTGCCTTCGCTTACGACAGGTCCTGGTTTAAATAGCCAGCTGGAACCGGTTACAACCCAGAGTGAAGAAGCAGTCATTGAAGACAGGACCAGGCTGGCAACAAGGGCAGGTTGAATGCCAGGTCTAAGGAGCACAACACTCAATGATGAAAGGGGCCACTGGGAGAGGACTGAAATCTACAGCTAAAGGGGTGGCTATGGATACGGAACAGCCAAGAAGAGCTGTCAAAAGACACTAAGGAATGACATGCTAGGTAGAACATGGTCCCCAGGGATGTCTGAAGTGGAAAAGAAATGACAAAGAATGGAGAACTATTCGCCCTGAGCCACACAGTAGAAAAACAACAGCCCCACCCCAGACAATGCTTCTGACATTTTGCCTGTTTTGACACAACTTCTGCTGCATTGATAGGTAGCATCAGATTACACTGCATGAACACAGGCAGGTCATGAATGAGCTCAGCAAGTTCAGCATTTACTCAGATTACAAATAATTCCCCAAATTATACAACAAGTCATCAAGAATATTAGGGATGAAATAGACTTCATTTTTTTTAAATTAATTTTTAGTTAGCAGGCAAAATAGACAGTTTCTTTGTGTCATTTTCATGTACTTATTTCCTTGTATGGGTATAGCCATTCTTTCTCTTTTTAATTTTTTTAAATATTTATTTATTATGCATACAGTGTTCTGCCCAGGTAAGAAGAGGGTACCAGGTTGCATTACAAATGGTTGTGAGCCACCATGTGGTTCCTAGGAATTGAACTCAGGACCTCTGGAAGAGCAGCTACTGCTCTTAACCACTGAGCCATCTCTCCAGCCCCCTCTTTTTAATTTTTAAAGGGACTTCTTTTTAAAGATTTATTTTTATTTTATGTATATGAGTGATTTTCCACCATGTAAGTATATCATGTATGAGCAGTGCTGTTAGGGATTAGAAGGGGGTGCTGGATTCCCTGGAATTGTAATTGCTGGATTCCCTGGAACTGTAATTACTGTGTTTGTGAGCACCCATGTGGGTGCTGGGAACTGAACCTGAGCCGTCTGTAAGAGCAGCAACTGTGCTAATCATGAGCCATCTCTCCAATCCCAAACAGACACTCTTTTTTTTTTTTTTCCAAGACAGGGTTTTATGATTTACAATATTTCATATTCTCTTCCTAACATGTTCTCTACTGACCTATCCTACTTGGGAGATGACTGTGTATGAGACAGTATTTTCCTATCAGAGAAGTAAGGGCCATGAAGGGAGAAGGGGTTTTGCTTCTTGATATATTTATGTGAAACAATTCTCTCTCCCCCTCCCTCTCTCTCTCTGTGTATCTCTTCCTCCCTCCCTCCCTCCCTCCCTCC